GGGGGGGGGGGGTCCAAGCGACACGTGTATCGTCCACTCCGGCGGGTGTTTTTGGACATTAGAGCATCGCGTTGGGGGTGGGAGCATCCAACGGCTGGGTTTGCCGGCTTCGCTGTATCGGGAGAATAGCAAGTTGTCCTGGGGGGGGGAATCAAGTCAAGCATGACTTTGTACAGATGAACAACAAGGTGTGATATGGAGCGAGTGCATGGGTGCAGGCAGGGTGTACTCATAGCCGTGCATACCGTAGTCGTTAAACCGCGTGGATGCAGCAGCGGGGGGCGAATTGGCGATAAGGTTGTACTAGAGCCTGCTGTACAACAACAAGCGGGGCTTACAAGGAGTCGAAAGGGAAGAAGAATGGTTCACCCAGAACACGCGCTCAATTGGCTTGCAGTGTAAACAGCGCATGATGTTCGGAAGAGGGCGATGGGTCCATGATGATTTCTCAGTGCAACAATAGAAGTGAAGGGTGTGGTAGAGAGAAGAAACAGAGGCCAGGTCTGTAGTAGCGAAATCCAACGGAACTCAGCTTTACAAAATCGGAAACAAATCACATTCGCTTGTTGTCGGGGTGATCGAAGGCAGTCGAGCCAAACCATTTTTTGTATATGTTGTCTTCTAGGGCCAGACGAGGCGAACAAGACTGATGTGCCTGTGTGCGGAAGGACAGTTGGCCCAAGAGGTCTTGAGCATTGGTGTCGTGTGTGACTCCTATGTACCCACGACCGCCCTTTCTTTGAGATCGAGACGTCTGTGCAACCCGGTAAATACCTGGTTCTTTTGTTGGCGTATACAAGGCCAAGCTTCTTGTCGGTGTATCTCGTTTTGGCATCTAGGGTTAGACTAAAAGCGGAATCTACGCAGTGTTACACGGCAGGTGTGTTCGGGAACGAACGTGAATTCTACATATCTAGACTCAAATAAAACAGTACTTCTGTGTAGGATCTCTATCGTCGCAATGTGGTTGATGAAGTATTTTGTTGATGGATATCCCTTTCCATGCTTCTTTGTCGGGGACTCCACCGCGGTGGGTGTATGTTGCCCCGCCTGGCGGTGGAATTAAGTTTGTCCTCAGGGACCATTACCGTTCAAACTTAAAAAAAAAAGTAAATAATCAGCTCGAGATTTCTTCCAAGTGCGCACATGACCTTGACCGCCTTGGGGGTGGGGTGGTACCTCTACGGCTGATTGATTTGAGTCAGGCCAAAAGGTGACGCATGCGATTTGTCGTTGTTAGGTTGGAGAGCGAGACTCCGAGTTTGCATCGCCCAGGGGGCCTAGGCTATGTGAAGGTGTTGAACCCAGTCGTGTTGGTCGGGTTCAGGGAGCCTGACCGAATCTATAGACTACTTAGGTCGACCCTAAGTACCTCGGAATATCGGGCTACTTCCGCCGGTCTGTGGAGAAACGTTTCTCAGTTTCCTGTACTCCGGGAAGTCTAACCCAAGGCGTGATGATTTCGTTCGTTTTTTGCCTATGGGGAGCTGTTCACCAACTAACACGTAGACTGCTGGTAGTCACCATGCGCTTGAGGAAAAGACGCAACTTACTGCTGAACCCACGAGCAAGTTTGGTCTGGAGCCGAAGACAGCAAGTTGTAGGCAAATACCCCGACGTAAAGAATGTTTTGTGTGTGATCCCCGATCGAAACTGGTCCATGGAGGGGGCAAAACCATCACACGTGTTTGCTCAGCCAGGGTGCGATTGCAGTTTTGCCCCACAAAGGGCGGGGGTGATTCTTGTGGCGTATCCTGTCTTTGTTGAAACGAACCAGACTGCATCGACTTGCGTCGTGCGGGTGGTCTCTCTTGTGTGCGTGTGGGAATTCAGCAAGGATGGAGTACTTCTCAGAGAGGAAGACCTTTGACACAGAAATTTACTTCAGGTTGCGTTCAAGAACAGAGCGACACAAAAGAGCAGTCTTGTGACAGGATGATGAGTAAAACGGCCCACATACCCCTCCTCCCTCTCGTGTGACTGGCTGCTACTCTGTGTCACACACGCGCAGCCTCTTGCTTGTGTCCGTAGCTACTGCGCTGCATGCAGAGCATCGACAGCGTCGGGGCGTGTGGAAACTGGGCTCTCACGGTTGATCACCGCACACCACCACCATCGATACGCGTATAACCCGTACACCCGGCCGTATGCATACCTGATCACGTCATCTCTGTCACCAGTCTAGACTTAACCCCGGTCGCCCCGGTGGTCTAGTGGTATCCTCGTAATCCGCTATTAGTCGCAGAGGTCGTGAGTTCGAATCCCCATGGGGTGAAAATTTTACGAAATTTGCGGGTGGAAGCGAAATATAGCTAAAAAGCTCTCGTGAGTACCAAACTTTAAACTTCGACGTTAGCACTGTTGACGAGGGAAAGGGACGGCTGGACCCTTATCGCGATAAAAATATTATTCAGCACGCACCGCAGGAGGAAGGTGGGGCGTGAAAAGAAATAAAAAGAAGAAAAAAGCCCTGGTATTTAGACTAACTACTCCTGTGTGACCCTGGATGGTTGTAGTTGTACGAACAAATACACTGAAGAGTGCAGTACTCTACAAACGCTGAGAAGTGTAGTACACGTCTCACCACGAAACACGGGGGGACTGTCGCCATAATAAATACGAAAACACACAATACACACACACAGAGGTTTGAGCCAGATGACCTTCCCCACAACAAGAAACGTAGGGCTAGGGAAGAACTGCCCAGAGATTCTTCTTGTCGAAATGAGGATCAGAATGATGGTAGCGAAAACAAGGAGGACACTGGTGAAAGTACTCCTAAACGAACTCGAGTACTAGGTAATAGCCTTGGTAGACGCGTGCATTTTTCGTCTGTTGCTGCTGTTTCTGTTTTTAATCCGAAGGATAGTTTAGCCTCCCCCATGCTGCCCCCTCACGGGGTCCCAGTTCATGGTAGATAGAAGTGTTTTGTGTTTTCAACCGCACTAAGACTGACGTCTTTTCATTGGTCAGCCGGTTAGCGTGGTCGATGCTAATAATAAAAACACACACACAGACCAGTGATGAGCCAAGCCGGCGGTTCATTGGTTCGAAACTGGTTCTGTAACCGCCGACCAAAAGAAAATGACGGATATGGATGTATCATGCATGTCCGTCTCCTGCTCACATAACAACCATCGTCGCAGCATACTCGTCGCAAACAATCTCCAGGGACGGAGAAGATATCTACGTGGCGATGAGCAGAGGACAGGGCAAGACAGCATGTGACACACCGTAAGGGGCGCCGCACCTGGGCTTCCTGCCGATGTGTGTGGGATTCTTGGGATTCTTCGTTAGCAATCTGCGTGCCCCCGCGGATGGTCGTCGTCCTAGGCAGGTCATGGCGAGCAGTGCAGTGGGTCGTGTGTGTTGGAGCTCTTACCGGCGATCTGGTACATCAGCGAGAGGATTTTTCAACTTGCCGGAGAGGTAAGGTCCATCTTTTTTGCGGTAGGGTGTGTTGTTCCCCTCGTGTTCTAGACTCTCCTTCTGGCCCCAGCAGTTGACTGGAGGCCGTTGTTGTCAGCAGAGCCTGCGGCGGATACATCATACGTTCCCGCCTTTACCTGTCGCACGCGAGCTCCGCTCGCGTCGGTTGCTCCTGGCAGCAGTTGCAAGCGCAGTACCTCATTTGCGCCTCGTGTCTCCCAGAATCTGGTGTCTGTTCCCACATGTGGGAGCCGTAGTGGACACACAGCAGGATGTATGGTCTACACATTCGGTGCAGCTTGAGCTTTACAAATTAGCGCTGTAATGTACAATACCTCCGTCGCCCTTTCATGAAGTGCTGAATACGTGCTGTGTCATACCATGGGCTACCGTCCTCTGGAGTTATGCCTACTGTTGCACGATGCTGCAAGTTCAGTTTTGTGTGTCATGGCAACAAAGACAGCGCCTTCTCTCTATTGCCGAAATCCACCTCTTTCAATGCAGTACACAACCGACCCTGCCAGTTAGACTGTAGAATGCGCCCCCCCCCCGCCCGCGTTAGCATCGATTGATTCGAAAGGACTGCTGTGCTTGCTGATCGAACGACACAATGTAGATTTTTTTGCAAGCTATGTACTTCTATTGCGAGCGGTTGAGAAGATCACCACAATTNTGCTCCGCACCCCCACCCCCCCCCGTGGTCAATGGTCTAACCGCTAACCGCTAACCATGAGCGCCCCCGCCCCCCCACCCATCCCCGACAGGGAGAGCACCACCAACAACAGAGATGGCGGCCAACAACGCTGATGAATCCCCCCTGGGATTCGCCGGCGACATCGACGGCGGCACCTCCTCCTTCCGGCTATCATCAGGACAACAACCCCCACCTTCGCTTGGCAACGCCGGCCCCGCCACCAGCTCGGCCTTTCCCGTCCAGGTGGGTCGTCTCCCGCCGCCCTCCCCGCAGGACCGGGGCCTAGTCGGTGGAGGCGTTTTGCTGGAAGAGGCCGAAGCGGGGCGGACCGTCGTGACGTGGCGGGCGCAGGAGTCGGGGCTCTGGCTGGAGGAGCGAGGGTTGGACGACGACCTCGAGGGGGGCGGGTTACACCTGCAGCTGCAAGGTGCGGGCACTCATTGCCGTGCACGCCGTAGTCGTTTTGACCATTGACATCGCGTCCCAAACAAAGCCGGGACCCAGCACGCCGGAGGGGCGTATGTTTTGCGGTGCTAGACGCGTATACCCTCTCCGCCTTTCGATGGTTGGCCAGGGTTATGCCCCGGGGAACATCAGCGGGTCCGGGTCTTTTGGGTGCCTTGGGGCGGCAATGGTTTCCGTTCGGCGTAGGGAAGGGGGGTAGGGGGGGGGGGGGGG